AACCAGGAATGATGAAAAGAGATAAAAAAGTCACTACATACTGTTAGGGGAAAACTTTAACAGAAAGAGCTAATAATCATAAATGTATATGAACCAAATATTAGAGCACCCAACTATATAAGATGAATATTAATAGTCATGAAAAATCTAATAAGCAATAATACAATTATAACAGGAGACCTTAACATCCTGTTGACACAGAGACAGATCAACTAGACAGAAAATCAGCAAAGAACAGAACTGAAACAAACTTGTAAACAAATGGACTTAGTAGATGTGTACTGAGTGTTCCACCCAACAACATCAAAATATACATTTTCCTGCTCGTGGGATATTCTCTAGAATAGACTATATATTAACCCATAGAACATGCTTAAGTAAATGAAAAGGAATTTAAATTATCCCATGCATATTATCTGACCATAATGTACTGAAATTGGAAATGAATGCAAAGGAAACTACAAAAGCTCCATAAACACATGGAAATTAAATATCACAAGTGGATCGCAGAGGGAATTAAACATTATCTACAATCAAAAGAAAATGAAAATATAACTTACCAGAGCCTGTGAGATGCAATGAAATTAGTCCTCAGAGCAAAATTTATAGTGGTGAATTCTTATATTAAGAAAAGAAAACAAGCACAAATAACCTAATGCTGTACCTCAAATTTTTAGAATAAGAAGAACAAGTCAAATCCAAAGCCCAAAGTGGAGAGAAAATTCTAAAGATCAGAGCAAAAATCAATGCAGTTGAAACTAAAAAAAAAAAAAAATCACACACATACACAAAGAATTAATGAATAGAAAAGTGGGTTCTTTAAAAATAAAATTGATAAACTCCTTAGTGACGTTATCAAAAAAAAGAAAGAAAAAACTCAGTTGTACAATAAGGAATGAAAAGGGTGAAATCACTACAGATACTTTGGAAATACAGATCATCACCTACTTTGAAAACTTTACTCTCATAGGATAGAAAACATAGAACAAATGGACACATTCCTAGAAACATGAAATAACAAAGCTAGATATAAAACTTCTGAATAGCCAATATAAATTAATGAAATTACAAACATAATTAAACCAACAAAACAAATTCCAGGTCTTGATGGATTCAGCACTGAGTTCTACAGGAAATTAATACCAATACTCATCGAAATAATGATTTTTTTTAAAAAGCAATTCTCTCTAATTCATTCTGGGAGGTAAATATTACTCTGATACCAAAACCACAGAAAGACCAAAACAAAAAAAGAACATAAGAGGCCAACATCTCTAATGAATGTAAATGCAAAAATTCTCAGTAAAATGCTGGCAAACAGGATGTAGCAAATCATCAAGATTATACATCACAACCAGTGGAATTCATCCCAGGAATGCAGGGACGGTGCAGCATACACAAATCAAAAAATGTATTACACCATATTAACAGAGCAAAAGACAAAAATCACATGATCCTCTGAATAGATGCACAAAAAGCTTTTGATAAACTCTACCACTTATTCGTGGTAAAACCCCTAGATAAAATTGAAATAGATAGTCTTTACCTCATCTATGACAAACCAAAGCCAACATCATACTAAATGATCAAAAAATGAAAGATTTCCCTCTAAACTCAGGAATAAGATAAAGTTTCCCACCATCATTATTCTTTTTCAATGTAGTTCTGGAAACTACAGTCAGAAAACCTATACAGAAGAGAGAAATAACAGAAAGAAAAGGAAGAAGTTAAATAATCACTCTTCACAGTTGACATGGTACTCTACATAGAAGAACCCAAAAACCCCACCAACAGGCTTCTAGACCTAATAAGCAAATTCAGCAGCATGGGTACAAAGTCAATACTAAAGAGTCAATATCATTCCTGTACACAAGCAACAAATTCAGTGATAGAGATTTAGGGAAACCACATCCTTCACATAATGTAAAAAATGAAATGCTTATGAATAAATCTAACAAATGAAGTAAAAGATCTACTCAGGGAAAATTACAGAACTTTGAAAAAAGTAATTTAAGAGAAATTCAGAACATGGAAAGATATCCCTTGCTCACGGACAGGAAGAGCCAACATTGTGACAATGGCCATACTCCCAAAACTTAATACAGATTTAATGCCCAATTAAAATACCACCAGCATACCACACAGACCTAGATAGAGATAATATTCCTAAAATTCATATGCAACCATAAGAGACCTAGAATTGCAATGGCAGCCCTAGGCAACAAAGGCAAGATAGGAAGCATCACAATCCCAGACTCCAAAATGTACTGCAAGGCTGCTGTAATAAAATCAGCAGGGAACTGGCAAAAACAACAGACCTGACTCTCAGTGGAACAGAGCAGAAGATCCAGACAACTACAAACACAATCATACACCTTATATTTGACAAAGGGGCCAAATATATTCACTGAAGACAGCACCTTCAGTAAGTGGTCTTGGAAAAAATGACTTTCTACATGCTAAAGACTTAAACTAGACCCATGTCTATTAACCACACACTAACCTACACACAAAATGAATCAAAGATCTAAATATTAAGACAGAAACACTAAACCTACTGAAAGAAAAAGTAGTTAGAAATTTCGAGGATGTAGAGGTAAGCTGAGAGTTCATCAAGAAAAGTCAAACTGCATGGGAAGTACTTCAAAGAATCAACAACTGGGATCTTACCTTATTAAAGAGTTTTTTCACATCAAAAGAAAACACCAACAGAGAGAAAAGGAAAACCTACAGATTGGGAAAAGATATTTTCCACCTGTCCCTCAGATAAAGGATTTTTATCTAGAAGATACAAAGAATTGAAAACAAATCAGGCCCCCAAATTTAAAGAACCAATCCAAAGATGAGCACCTGAGATGAATACACACTTCACAGATGAAGAATTACAAATTGCAACTAAATATATGAAAAAATGTTCCATATCATTGGTCATTCAAGGAATACAAATTAAAACTACATTCATGCCACAAAGAATTGCTAACATCAAGAAATTAACCAATAAGAACTGCTGGCAGGGCAGTGGGAGAAAAGGAAAGGAAGCCTGTTCCATTATTGATGGGAGTGTAGACTGGTAAAACCACTATGGAAATCAGTATGGAAATTCCTCAAAAAACTAGGATTAGAAGTTCCATTCCTCCCAGATACTCCTCTTCTGTGTATTTTCCCAGAATTGAAAACATGATATCACAGCAATATGTGTGCACCCATTTTTGTAGCAGTACAAATTGTAATAGCTAAATCTTGGAAATAACCCAAATGCCTGTCAACTGAGGAATAGATAAAAATACGTGATAATGTTACATAATGGAATGCTATTCAGCTATAAAATAGGATAAGCTCGAGACTTTTATAGATAAATGAATGTAATTAGAAACTACACTCATAAGTTTAATAAATCAGACTTGCATATGTTGCTAGTGTAAAAAACTGAAAGAGTGAATAAGATCCCAAAGTCACAATAGATATAGTAAAAGGAAAAGAAACTGCTCAAAGGGAAATTATATTGTTTGATCAGTCTTGCATGCCTATATCTGGTAGCCTGGAAATTAATTTTAAGGATGGCAATATGCAGTATAATAACCATTATTGAATTCCTATGGCTTTCCATTTTCTTCAATTTATTTTTCCAGGGTATTATAATTTTCCCTGAATAGATCTTTTACTTCTTTTGTTTAGATTCATTCCTAAGTATTTCATTTTTTGTACACTATTGTGAAGGGTATGGCTTCTCACTTCTCTCTCAGTGAGTTTATTCTTTGTGTATAGGAATGCTGTTGATTTTTGAGGGTTGATTTTGTATTACTGAATTTAGCTATTATGCATAAAGAAGTCTTAGAATACAGTTTTGGGGGTCTCCTATGTAGAGCATGATGTCATCTGCAAATAATGATAATTTAAGTTATTCTTTTTCTATTCTTCCTCCTTTTACTTCTCTCTCTTGTCTAATTGCTCTGGCTAGTATTTCCATCATTATATTGTATAGAAGTGGTGATAATGGACATCCTTGTGTTTTTCCTGATTTTAAAGTGAAGGCTTTCAGTTTTTGGCCATTTAATATGATACTGGCTGTTGGTGTGTCATACATAGCTTTTATCAGATTGAAATAAAGACCATCTATTCTAATTTTATTTAAAGTTCTTATCACAAATGAGTGTTGGACCTTATCAAAAGCTTTTCTCCATATATAAAAATGATCATGTGATTCTTATTTTTGATTGTAATGCTATGGTGGATTACATTTATTGATTTGCATATGTTGAACCATCCCTTAATTCCTGGGATGAATCCATCTTGGTTGTGTTGTATAAATTTCTTGATGATTTGCTGTATTCTGTTTGCCAGCATTTTATTGAGAAGTTTGCATTTATGTTCACTAGGGAGATTGGCCTGTAGTTCTCTTGTTTGCTTGGATCTTTCTCTGGTTTTAGTATTAGAGTAATACTTGCTTCCAGGAATGAGTTATGGAGAATGTCTTCCCTTTCAATTTCATTGAAGATTTTGAGGAGTGTTGGCATAAATCTTCTTTGAGTTTCTTGTAGAATTCTGCAGTGAATCTATCTGGGCTTTTCTTTGTTGGTAAGATTTTAATTACATTCAGGTTCACTAATTGAAATTGGATTATTCAGCAGTTTTACATCTTCTTGATCCAGTTTCAATAATTCATATGTTTCTAGGAATCTATTCGTTTCTTCTGTGTTATCAAACCTATGAAAGTAGAGGTTTTTGAAGTAGATATTGAATGATCTTTTGTATTTCCACAGGGTCTATACTGATTTTACCCTTTTCATTCTTTATTGCATGAATTTGAGTTATTTCTCTCATTTTTTTTACTAAGGTTAGCTAGGGGCTTATCAATTTTATTTATTCTTTCAAAGAACTCACTTTTCAATTCATTGATTCTTTGTATTGTTTTCTTACTCTATTGAATTGATTATTGCTCTGATCTTTATACTTTCCTCTCTTCTTTTGGATTTGACATTGACTTGCTCTTCTTTTTCTAGATGTTTAGCATCAGGTTGTTTATTTCTATTTGTTCTGTTTTCCTGATGTGGAATTCATCACAATAAATTTTCCTCTGAGGACTGCTGTCATTGAATCCAACAGGTTCTGGTAAGTTGTATTTGCATTTTCATTTGCCTCTAGATATTGTTTACTTTCTTCTTTAATTTCCTGTGTGACCTACTGAATGCTCAGGAGTGTATTATTCAGTTTTCATGTGTTTGTGGGGTTTTTGCAGTTTCTTTTATCATTAATTTCTAGTTTCATGCACTATGGTTTGATAACATGCATGGGATGATTTCCATTATTTTGCATTTATTTATGCATGATCTATGGGCTAGTATGTGATCGATATTAGAGAATGTCCTATGTGATACTGAGAAGAATGTATATTCTGATGTTGTTGGGTGGAACACTCTGTATATGTCCACTAAGTCTATTTTTTCACAGATGTAATTCAGTTCACCTATTTCTTTGCTGATTTTCTGTCTAGTTCATCTGTCTATTTGTGTCAGTGGGGTGTTAAGGTCTCCCATTATCATTGCTTATTTGATGTTTCATTTCTGTTAATATTTGTTTTGTATACCTAGGGCTCTTGAATTTGCTGCATATATATTTAAGATTTTTATCTTTTCCTCATGAAGTTTTCCTCTAACTAGTATACAGTGACTTTTTTTTATCTCTTTTTGATTATTCTTGCTTTCAAGTTCACATAGTCTGCAAACAGAATAGCTACCCCCTGCTCTTTTTTCTTGGTTCCTGTTGCATGAAGTATTGTTTCCCATCCTTTGACTTTGAGTCTGTAAGTTTTCTTTTGGGTTAGATGGGTTTCTTGTAGACAGTGTATGATTGGATGTTGTTTTTTGATCCACTATGCCAGTCTGTCTCTTTTACTTGGTGAATTGAGACCATTTACATTAATGGTCTCATTAATGTAACCAAATGTATTGGTTTACTTTTGACCTATTATCTTTCTGCTGTTGATTCTTTACCTTTCCCTTCTAGTTCAATTGTTTGCCTTGCTTAGTGTTTTTTTCTATGTCTATCTAGAATGTCTTTTGGTATTCTTTCCAAGGTTGGTTTGATGATCATGAAGTTCTTCAGCTGTTCTTTGTCATGGAAGTTTCTTATTTCTCCCTCAGGTTTTTTTTTTTTTTTTTTTTTGTCTTTTTCCTTTTTATCGGTACTGGGGATTGAACGCAGGACTGCCTGCTTTCAAGGCAGGTGCTTATGCCACTGAGCTAAATCCCCAGCCCCCAACTCTCCCTCAGTTTTGAAGGACAATTTTGCATAGTACATCTATCTGGATTGGAAGTCATTTTCCTTTAGGATCTGCAATTCTTCACTCCATGATCTTCTTCACTTCGTTGTTTGTGTGGAGAAGTCTCCTCTGTGATTCCAATAGGCTATCCTTTATAAATGATCTGTCTCTTCTCTCTAACAGCTTTTAATATTCTGTTCTAATGCTGGATTTCTGAGATGTTGATTATTGTATTTCTTGGTATAATTTTATTTTGGTTATGGCTATTTGGAATTTTATATGCTTCACTTATCTGTATTTCAGTTTCCATTCTCATGTTTGTCAAATTTTCAGCTATTACTTTTGTAAATATCCTCTTAATGTCATTTTTGTTTTTATCTTCTTTTTCATTTATACCTATCAATCTTGTGTTGTTTTTCTTTACATGATCTTACAGCTGTTGAATTATTTCCTGATTCCTTGTTATTTTTTAAAAGATCTCTCCTTTCCTTTTCACTAGTTGCAATTTTGAGTTCTGAAAGTCTATCTTCACTTTCATTGAGGTGGTTTTGCTAATTTGCGATGGAGTTTTTGGTTTCCTGTATATCCCTTTGAATATGTTTCATGCATTCTCTTTCTTATATTGTTCAATCAGAGTTTCCATCTTTTTGCATTGTTTCTCTAATTCTTTAACTATGCCTTCTTTAGATATGTTCAACATTTCTTTCATTACATTTATCATTTCTTCCTTTACTTGGGAGATTATTTCTGCTCTGAGTTTTTTTATAGCTTCCCAGAGTTATTTCTTTACTTCAGTTGCTATCATTTCAGCAGCTTCAAGTGTATGGCTTACACTGTGTTCTATATCTTGTCTCCTAGGCTTGCCTGGGATGGACTGAATGTTTGAGATTGAATTTTGCTCTTTCATTTTGTCATTTTCCTATATTCCCTTAGGGAAGCTGAAAGCAAGGCCTCAGTTGTTTTTTTTTTTTTTTTTTTTTTTTTTTTTGTTGTTGTTGTTGAGAATATCTATCCTTATTGCAGGGAGTTTTCCCAGTTGAGTGGATGTGGATGTCCTTAGACAGACCTTACCAGGTGTCTCCCAGCCACTTGTGGTCACTGAGCAGGACCCTACCAGTCTTGGAGCGGCATGCCAAGCCTTCTCCATGGGATGGAAATCGCTGTCTGCCATTTCACCTCCTGAGGCAGAGCACAGGCAGCTCTGGACCCCTGAAGGGTCACTGGGTGGGGCACAAATAGCCCTGAAGGCCCTTCCCATGGGTCCTCTCATGATGTGGGATGCTGAGTGTGGGTCCTACCAGTCTTGGAGCTACACACCAAGGCTTTCCCATGGGGTGGAAATTGCTGTGCACATTTTTGGCTCACAAAGTGGAGGGCAGATGGCTGCAGGCCACTTGGGGATTGATGGATGGGGCCCACATAGGGCTTGAGGAAGCTTCCCATAGGTCCTCTGGTGAAGTAGGATACTAGGCAGGGCCCTGCCAGTCTTGGAGCAAAGGTCCAGTGGTTCCCTGTAGGATAGAGATCGCAGCACATGCAGTTTTGGCTCACAAGGCAGAGCACAGGCATCTGTGAGACATTTGGGGGTCATTGGGCAGGGCCCAAATAGTCCTGGAGGGCCTTCCTGTGGGTTCTCTGATGATGGGTGATGCTGGGTAGGGGCCTACCCATCTCGAAGCGAAACACCAATGCTTCCCCATGGCATGGAGATTGTTGTGCATTCTTTTGGCTCACAAGGTTAAGCACAGGCAGGTGCAGGCCACTGGGGGTCATTGGTTGGGCTGGATTTTAATTCTTTAAGCAGTTTATATCCCAAAGGATTATTCTTATGAATATTTTGTTGTAGTTCATTGGAAATTTGCCTGTCCCAAAGGGCTCTCCATAAAGCACAGCCTGTGTAACCAGTCTTTGATTGGGAGACACTATTTTTTTATCAACCATAAATGGAAGGGAAGAAGGAAGAGGAAGAGAATGGGAGTAGAGCTCTTTATCCTCATTTATACACTCTCAAGAGGGTACTAGATAAGGGATACTTTTCCACAGTTAAAGGACAAAGAAATGCACAGACAAAATTCCATGTGGAGAATGTTTCAGGGGATATAGCAGAGCCTTGAGTATCATCATGCTCCAAACCTTCTCCTACTCTATCCCAACTTTGTACATTCAATGTGCCAGTCTGAGGAAGCCAAGGATTATGTTTGATAACATTTTTCAACATATGAGAGAGCAACTGGGTACTGACTTGAGTACCAGACTGGCACACCAGAATTTCCAAAACATAGATATAAAGTGGTATTTCAACTGACAATTCTACTCTATTACCCTGGCTGATAAAGTTCTCCAAGTTTTTGTTTTCTTTTTTTTTTAATTTATTTAAAGGAAAAAAAAACAGAAAAAGGTTAAAGTAATACATAATTTTTAAAAAAGTAAATGGTAAGAAATCAGTAGTTGGTAAATTACATATTTTCCACTTAGAAATAATTGTTCAAGTTATGTAAATAAAGCATCAAAGTAAACATTTAAACACCAAGACTGCAAATAGTTCTGTTCAATGAACCAACAAAAACTTAGTAATATGATTATCAATCCTACACAATTAAACATACATACAGTTATATCCTTTAGAGCATTTTCTTTTTCTCTATTACAGTAGCAATTACATGTTCTGGGTTTTATTGCTCCTACATTTCTTATTACTTTTTACACTAGAGACACAATGTGATATTTATAAATATGACTTATTTATTTCACTAATGAGGATAGCCTCAACTTGTCTACATTTGCCTATGAAGGCCTCAAGATCATACTTTTTATAGCTGAGTAATATGCAATTATGTAAAAATACCATATCTTTTTAATCTGCTGTGTGCTTGATGGGCATCTTGATTATTTCCAAGATTGATCTATTACAAATTGTGCTGCTATGAACATGGATGCACATATATCACTGTGATATGACATTTCCAGTTTTTCTGGGAAAATAACCAGGAGAGGAATAGCTGGGTTGAATGGAACTTCCAATCCTAGTCTTCTGAGAAATCTTCATACTGATTCCATAGTGGCTGCACCAGTCTACATTCCCACCAACAGTGGAGCAGTATTCCTTTTTCCCCAGCAGCCTCGCCAACATTTGTTACCAGTTGATTTCTTGATGGCAGCTATTCTTTCTGAAGTGAGATGAAATCTCAATGCTCATTGATTTGCATTTCTCAAATGACCAGTGATGATGAACATTTCTTCATGTATTTATTTGCCATTTGTATATCTTTATCTGTGAAATGTGTGTTCATCTCCAATGCCCATTGTTGCAGAGGTTCTTTGAATTTGGGGGGCTTCATGTTTTTCAATTCTTTATACGTTCTAGATATAAGTCCTTTGTAAGTGCAGAAACTTTTCAATAATGTGAGATGCCAGTTTTTGATTCTTTGAAGTGTTTCCCATGCAGATTGTGTTGTATTCATAAATTCTCTGCCTACCCTTATGTCTCTAAGACTTCTATCTACCTTGTCTTTCAGTAGATTTAGTGTTGATGGTATTCTTATTGAGATTGCATTGAATCTATATAACAGTTTTGGGAGAATAGCCATTTTCACAATATTTGTTCTTCCTATCCATGAGAAAGGGATGTCTTTCCATTTTCTGAGATCCTCTTCAATTTCTTTTTTCAGTGTATTATAATTTTTTCTGAATAGATCTTTCACTTCTTTTGTGAGAGTAATTCCTAAATATTTCATTTTTGGTTGCTAGTGTGAAGGGCGTGGCTTCTCTTATTTCTCTGTCAGTTATTTTCTTGTTAGTGTATAGGAATGCTATTGATTTTTGAGTATTGATTCTGTATCCAGGTAATTTC